GTTCCCAGGCCCCTTGCGCCAATTTTATAAAACAGCTTTATTCATGGTACTTATAAGAATAAAATAATGTCAGAAGTATGTGTACCATACCTATGCATGCCAAAAGTTTACTTGCATGATAATAATTCGAAAATGACGTACACATAGATAAATGCAACTAGTTATTCAAAATCAGTGTAAGGGGCCTGGGAACGACTGCGTTGCCTTGACAACAAAATTAGAAGTATTTTCCCATGCGTCTCATCATGTACTATCTGTATGCAAAATGTCATTTGATTTGAGCCAATAATAACTGAGCTATGCTTCAGTTTACTATTCATTAAACATACTTGCCCTACCAATGACGTCACACGTTGTGCTGAATCAGCAATTTATATTTTGCACATTTTTGCATATAACTTCGGAACCAGATGAGATAGAATAGAGCAGTAAACGGCCAATCGGCTTATTTTTGCATGCTCTTTCAGATAAAGCAATAAAAATGTATGATGAAATGTATCATAAATGAATGATTAATCTGCTTTAACATATCTTTGCCAATTTGCGCAAATTAATGCTGGTTTACAATAAAATTTATTTTGACCACACGCAGTTTTGTCTTTAAACATTGAAACGTCAACCCATATTGACCATATACTCCACCAGACTGTAGCGTTGATTATGTGACCAGTGACCACGCGCATTATCCTTTGATTTCCGATCATTTGCTGATTTGCCATAGTTCCCAACTTCCCAGAACATTGTTCTTAACCGGTTAATTAATTCTATCACATGGCACCGAGTCAGGAGATCCCATGAGATAGCACGGCGCATGCGCGGGTTCATTGCACGCCTCGTGTGGGTTCGAAGCGGACGAAGAAAAATTTAGAGAAAAATATTTCAAGTTAATTCAAGAAGATTAAGCTACTTTCCTTGTGTCTACGTGGTAGATACTTAATCAAAAGCGTCCAACGTAGTTGGTATCGCTGTGATAACGGCCAAACCTTGTTTTGGCCCAAGATTACTCAACCAGAAACCAACGTAGTTGTGTTCATAGTGTGCATATAAAATGGCCGATGGCAATGCACCGGTTGAGAGAAGGCAAAGAGAAGCCAGCTCTAGTCCTGGCCCTGTCGGCGACACAGTCTCGCCTCTCGCCGAGTTTATGGAAGAAATGAGAAAATTCAAAGCCAGCATGGCCTCCGAGATGGCATCCGTGCGTGGCGAAATAAATAATTTCACCTCTACATTTGACGACTCTACTTTTGACGACGAGCTTCGCCTGGACATTGACGAAGGACAAGGTAGCGACTCGGAAACTGTGTCTACATGTCTTGACACTAAAGTTGAACGTCTCCTTAAGGAAACCAGCAAGACGAAAAGTAGCGAGGATTTGACGACAAGTTCAGATAGCCTCCTTACAACTATAGCACAAGAGCTCGATGTTAGTGAACAGATGGGCGCCGCTGTTCAAGAGCGTCTTGCCTCCATAGTCGAGGGCCTTTTGAGCACCAAATTATCCGATGAGAAATGGCGAGAGAAAGTTGGGAAGTATCCCCGACCCCAAAACTTAGAAAATCTAAGAACTCCCAGAGTTAATCCACTTATATGGAACCAACTCTCTGCTGGGGTTCGGACCAACGACGCCAAACAACAGCGAACACAGCATGCTCTCGTTGGCGCCATAGTTGCCATGACGCAAGCGGCGGACCACGTGCTCAAAAGCGGAAATCCTGATGCAACGCTGATAACATCTTTGACAGATGGCATTGCAATGGCTACCCAGTGTCAACATGATATAAATCAAGCACGTCGTATTGCTATGAAACAGGACATGCACACAGATTTTCAAGCACTGTGCAATGTTCCAATTCCTAGTGGGGAATTTTTGTTTGGCGACTTGTCCAAACACACCAAAGATATTGCGGATGCAAACAAGTTGGCGAAGAAAGTTCGCCCATACCAGACTGCTACTGCACGAAGCAGACAGTCTAGTTCTGGCACTTATAGCCGGTTTTCTACTGGGCAATACAGACGTGGCCACCCATATCAACGACGTGAAAATTTTTTCGACCGAGGTCGGTTTCACAATGCAAAGAAAAAGAGAGGGGGAGCTGCAAAAAAGCAGTAAATTCCTCAATAACACAACCTGTACATAGTAAGGTAAGAGAAACTGTCAGTTCATATTCATTGCATACTGTTGATTCGTCTGACACGTCAATAATTGCTGGACGTTTAAAACATTTTGTTGATCGATGGAAGCAACTGACCTCAGACCCAGTCATATTGAACTATGTCATGGGTGTTAACATTGAATTTAATGATCAACATCCCAGCCAATATGCAGCCAAAGTTCGCCATTTTAACATGAGTGAAACTGCAATTATTGGAAATGAGATTAATAAGCTTCTTAGCAAGGGGGTTATTATTCCCTCCATACATGAGCTAGGTGAATTTATTTCATCAATCTTTCTCAGACTTAAAAAAGACGGCTCATATCGTATGATACTTAACCTCAAGTCTTTCAATGAATTTGTGAAGCATCGCCATTTTAAAATGGACACTTTAGATGCAGCAGTAAAAATGATGAAGCCAAATTGTTATATGGCCTCTATTGATCTCACTGATGCCTATTATATGGTGCCAGTGCATGCGGCAGACCAAAAGTTCCTAAAATTTGAATTTTTGGGTCGCCTCTATCAGTATACCTGCCTTCCAAATGGACTCTCGAGTGCTCCACGTATATTTACAAAATTACTAAAACCAGTATATTCTACCCTACATAGTATGGGCCATATGAGTTCAGGGTACATTGACGACTCCTACCTCCAAGGGGACACCCCTGCAGAATGTTCTCGCAATATATCAGCCACAAAAACACTTGTGACAGAGTTGGGATTTATACCTCACCCCAAGAAGTCCGTCACTGTCCCAACACAAATTCTTGTGTTTCTTGGGTTTATACTTAACTCAATCAACATGACAGTCTCCCCAACACAGGAGAAAATAGACAAGACAGTGGCCGCTTGCAAACTATTGTTAGCTAAAGCTGCAACTACAATACAACAGGTTGCAGAAGTAATTGGTCTATTAGTCTCCAATTTCCCTGGAGTGGAGTATGGGCCTTTGCATTATCGAGAACTAGAAATGGCTAAATCTGCAGCATTAACATTAGCTTGTGGGGTCTATGGTGCTAAAATGACATTAACTGATAGGTGCAAGCATGAATTGGAATGGTGGATTACAAATCTACCAAATTCCACTCGTAAGATTATTCATGGTAAACCATTTGCTATCATTCAATCTGATGCTTCTACACAAGGATGGGGGGCAGTCCGAGAGGGTACCTCTACAGGGGGTAGATGGAGTACCATTGAACAACAGGCACACATCAATGTGCTAGAACTCAAGGCAGCCTTTTTTGCCTTGAAATCACTCTGTGTCAATGACAGAGATGGGCACATTCATTTGCAGCTTGATAATACAACTGCAGTTGCTTATCTTAACAAAATGGGGGGGACACAATCTAGACCTCTCAACCAGTTAGCAGTTGAAATCTGGCAGTGGTGCATTGAAAGGAACATTTGGATCTCTGCAACTCATATAGCTGGCAAGGTTAATGTTGAGGCAGATAGAATGTCTCGAGTATTTCATGATAAGAATGAGTGGAAGTTAAATAAGCAAACATTTCAGAACATCTTAACAAAATTTCCCAGCCTGGAAGTTGACTTGTTTGCAAGCCGAGTAAATTTCCAACTTGCACAATATGTTGCATGGCGACCAGATCCTGGGTGTATTGCAGTTGATGCTTTTACATTAAACTGGGATACTAAGATGTTTTATGCCTTTCCACCATTTAGTTTAGTTCCTCGTTGCTTGCAAAAGATACTACAAGACCAAGCCTCAGGAGTACTAATCGCTCCCTTCTGGCCGACCCAGGCCTGGTTTCCACAACTATTACAGCTACTGTTCGATCAACCATGGATCCTCGCACCATCAACAAACCTCCTGCAGCACCCAGTTCAGTTGATATCACATCCACTAGCCAAAACCCTTCGCCTGATGGTTTGTCCTGTCTCCGGAATCGCTTCGCGGCAGATGACCTTTCAGAAGAAGTTACAGATATCATTATGTCATCTTGGAGAACAGGTACCAAGAAACAATATTCCACCTACATCCAAAAGTGGTTGGACTTTTGTCGTCAAAGGACGATTGCTTGTCATTCACCAACAATGAACCAAGCTCTGTCGTTTTTGAGGATGTTGTTTCAACAGGGACTGAGTTACTCTACTATAAACACTGCACGTTCAGCATTGTCAACCATAATTTGTTTGCCAGATGGTCAGGGTTTTTGGATCCCATCATATAGTTGTCAGGTTTATGAAGGGTATATTTGAACTGCGGAAACCAAAACCTAAGTACAATTCCATATGGGATGTCTCTGTGGTTTTAAAGTATCTGGGAACTTTTACACCCAATGAAGAACAGACACTAAAAAATTTGACGTTGAAGTTAGTTATGTTATTGTTACTGGTGACAGGGCAGCGAGGTCAAACAATACACTGTCTTAGTCTCAGTGAGATGACCTTAAGCGAGACCTCATGCGAGTTTCAAGTTCTGGAGCATATGAAGACTAGTAAGCCAGGATCAGGGACTACGATCCTCAAGATTGAGCAGTACACACCTGACAAAAATATTTGTCCTATCTTAGTTTTAAGAGAGTACCTAAAAAGAACCAAAAGTGTACGTGGGGATAATAAGCAACTTTTTGTAAGCTATCAAAAACCATATCAACCTGTGTCAAGAGACACAATATCAAGATGGGTTAAAATTGTCCTTGATAATGCTGGGATTGACACCACAGTATACTCGGCACACAGTACTCGAGCGGCTGCCACATCGAAAGCTTACCAAAGTGTACCATTGGACATATTGATAAAATCAGCAGGTTGGAGCTCAGACAGTACATTTCAAAAATACTATAATAAGCCTGTAGCCTCTGATATAACTATGACTGAGGCAGTACTTACAACATGTTGAGTTGATAATAATATGGTTTTGTTCACCATGTCTCATGCCTAAATTTGGTATATGTCATTGCTGGGTACATCAGGGCTTTAAAGTCTCATGCGATCTCCTGACTCGGTGCCATGTGATAGAATTGGAAAATTAAACGAGACTTACCTGTAAGTTGAAGTTTGATTGGAATTCTATCACATGGCACATAGAGTCAGGAGATTACATGCCCACCCTGCATCATCAGATGTATAATATATGTACATATTATATTGCCCATGTCCCTACTTTGGGTTTATCACTGGGTGTATTGGAATTATCAATATCACTGTGTGTATTTGTACTGATGAACCCAGCAAAATGCTTTAAAGAATGAACCCGCGCATGCGCCGTGCTATCTCATGTAATCTCCTGACCCTATGTGCCATGTGATAGAATTCCAATCAAACTTCAACTTACAGGTAAGTCTCGTTTAATTTTCCAATTACTATACACTAGCTGGATATTTTGCAAACAAAGATGATCACCTGGGTTTGCTCGCCTACCATAGTTGAGTGTTTATATGCTTTGTCTGTGCAAATATAATTTGATATAAGCTGTATATATCATATGACATTTTCCTGACAGATTTAATCTTAGAACCAATGATAAAATGATGGACGGTATAAATACTGTATATACTGTAACTGGTGTATACAGGTTATAATTATGAAATTTGCTCACAAAAGTGGGATAGTTTGGAAAATATATTTAATTAAATTATATATTTGTAATGCTAATTATCCCAGTATTATGTAGCCAGCATGCCACCCTGAGGATTACGATTACCATTGATAAGTGTATGGATATATTTGACAAGAGATAATATAGGGAAAATTAAATATTCATCAATACTACTGTGCAGCCTTTCTTAAAGGAGTACTGTATTAATATTAGTTGAAAGGCAGGCAAAAGGGGACAGATAGAAGACATATGATTAAATTATGTCATGTTTATCATTGTACAGTTTGGTATTGGTTTATTTAACAAACAATTTCAAATTAAGATAGCTTCATTAAATTAATTTACACACAGTCTCTATTGATTTAAAACGTGTGAGTACCTAGTTATTTATTTATATACTTTTAAACCCAGTGTTTGTTGTGTGTTAGTTTACTGGTTTCCTCGCCACAAGGCAATATTCTCAGTATTCAGAGTGTGGGCTATTCACTGTGCAGTTCATCTGAAAGGCAGCTAGCCTAGGGGCAAATGAAATTGACCAGCTGATGCCAACCACACTGTCCATGCAGAGTAAGATTAGCAGCATAAGACAGAGTTGCATATATTTACCCAGTAAAGCACAAAATACCTTTAATTTTTATGCACCATGATATGTTATTTTACTTTAAATTCTAATGCTAGAAGATTTTACTCATGGAACATTGGAAATTAATAGGGGAAGGTGGTTCATAAACAACATAATAACACTGTCTTCTGAGTCCAGCAATGCAACTAGTGGAGCACACTGTATACACCTTTGTTACACAGTATGTGTGTATTTGCGTTGTCGTGATTTTCTGTCAAAATGTTTTTCAATAGAAAAGTTAAGGCTACAAGAAGCACAGTACTGACTATTTTTTAATAGAGACTTATTGCCACTGCTGCTATTACACTTGTACAAGCAAAAATTGTTTTCTTATGTGGAGAAATTATGTTTTTTTGCGATATAGGTTCAAGTTTTTTACGTGTTTTTCCAAAAATGCAGCAAAATTTTTGTGACTCTGATATAGGAACTGCAACAAAAGAGTTCGCTCAGAACACAGGAAATCGCATTTCCGAGGTCCTAGATTTCAAAATTTCCCGGGGGAGGATAGCCCCGGACCCCCCCCCCCTACAAATGCGAGGTCTTATGTATGCATCAGTCAGCTCAGGAGCTGGATCTGCCCCTGGTAGACTACAGTCTCTAAAACTGGCCATCTCTGGGATTTTGGGGTAAATTTACTTATATCTAATTGACATATCTTAGGGCGAGTTTGGAAGAAATGTTACAATCACAACCAAGAATAAAAACATTTTTAAGTCGCACAATGGGGTTCAATTTGCGTTGTGCAGAGGGCATGAGGCCGGGTGGCATGCTCCTCTGAAAAAACAACTGAAAAATAGTCTCTGAAATGCCATTTCCTTGACTTTGGGGGAATTGTGATGAGTGTTGATCAGAAAAGGATATTTTGGAAGGCGATTTCAAACATTTTACAGTGATTTTTGAATTGATTTTTTCTCTCCAGTTTTTTCATTCAGTCTAGCCCCACCCTCATCTAAAATGAAATGATCCCTCCCTTATCATCACATGATGTAGTGTACAACAATCGTGCGCAAATTCGACAAGAGTTTTAGGTAGTGGTCTGACACAATCAATCATGACTCTACTAAACGGTTCTTCAAAAGCCGGAATTGGTTTTAATGGTGCTTTAGGAATTACTTGGTTTAGTTTTCCAACAATTTGGCATGTGTGACAAGTTTTGCAAAATTAAACGACGTCTTTTCGAACCCCAGGCCAATAGAAATTGATAGTGACTTTTTGTAACGTTTTGTTTATTCCCAAATAACCCGAAAAGTGGTGGAGTATCATGCGCCAAACTAAGAATTTCGGATTGATAAGACTTCGGAATTATCATTTGATATCGAAAAGCCCATTCGTCATCGGCAGAAACATCAGGGGGTTGCCATTTCCTCATTAACACTCCATTTTTAATAAAATAGCACACAGGACCACCTGTGGCATCCATCACGTCTGAAGCCTTTTGGTCAAGTGCAGAAATCTCAGGATAATTTTATTGCTCACTAATGAGGCTAGATTTTGAAAAACTACTTTGGTTATCATTTGCATCCAAATTTTCTAATACTTTTGAAAGAAAAGTGTCAGAAATGTCAATTTCATCTGCTCGCACATTATCTATCACATGATTTTGCCGTTTTTTCATGACTCTAGTAACTGCACATGAAGGATATAAATCTAGAATAACTTGTTCAACTGGATCAGGCTGTTGAGAAAGACATGGTTTGTTTGTTAAAATTGTGTTAACTGTAACTTTATTGCCTGCTAAATCGTTTCCTAATAACAAATATATCCCATCAAAAGGTAAAGACTCAATCACGCCTAAGGAAACATCGCCTGTCACCAAGTTAGACTGCAATTTTAGATTGTGTAGTGGGATTGAACAATAGTCTTTGGAGTTGACGCCGCATATCAAAACACTTTTGCCCAAATACGAACTTGTAGAAAATGGTAATGTTTTGGTTAGTATCAACAATTGTGAAGTACTAACATACTAGGGTCAACAGAGCTCTTGACCTCAAATTCATTTTCCTCCTTGTGAATATATTGTTTATGCTCAACGACAGGTTGCTTTGGTTGTTGCCGCTCGTATAAACTATGAAATTCTGGTTTCATGTTTGACGAAGAAATAAAACCTGTTGGTTTTGGTGGTGGTCTGTTAAATCTAAGCACATGACATTCAGACCTTATGTGACCACTTTGTTTACAATAATCACAAACAATTGACTTAAACGGTGGCGGTGTACGCCAGGATTCTAGCGTTCCATTTCATGGTTTGTTGTTGAAAAAGCTAAGATCATGGGCTGGATATTGTCCTTGAAATTGCCTAGGAGGTGGCAGACGTTTAAACATTGTCAAATGCAAGGTTGTTGCTGTGAGGAGGAGACATATTTGATTTTATACCCGTGGTTGAAAACTTGTGTGTTAGTGAGAAATTATCTGCCAAACGTGCTGTGTCATTTAGTGTTTCTGTTTTTTTATAAGTCACAAAAGTTCTAACATTATTACATTAATCAAAATCAACTTGCGTAGACGATCGTACTTATTCTCCACATTTTCTGACGTGCACCAGCGATCTAAAAGCTGAGCCTTTTCTTGCACAAATTCGACAAAAGTTTTATTACTTGATTTGCATAAAACACAGAATGTTTGGCGATACGCTTCAGGAACCAACTCATAACCCTTTAGAATTAGTTGCTTTACTGTATCGTACTCTCCGGAATCTTCTACCGTAAGCTGTGAAAAAAGTTCCCAAGCTTTCCCTAAGAGGACACTTTGCAAGAGCATTGTCCAACTTTCCTTCGGCCAGTTGCAGTTTTTGGCAACCTTCTCGAAATGTAAAAAGTACTTATCGACTTCCCGTTCCTGGAACGGTGGAACCATCCTAATGTGTTTAGTTACATCAAAATAAGAGGTAGAATGATCGGAAGACTTATTCTAGCTTTCTAGCTGTAATTTTTGTAATTCTATCTCTTGTTGATTTAATTTGAACCCTCTCTCTTCACATTCCCACTCACGCTTCTGTCTTTCTCTCTGCCATGCTATTTCTTCCTGTTCTCTCTGCCACTGTCTTCCTTCGCATTCATTACCTACACTATTACTATGAACTAATTCTACTTCAGGACTGGAATCTTGAGTAACTTTATATGCGTCTAAAGCAGACTGTTCAAATGACCTTGTCTCATTCACTAAATGTTCCATTATAAGTTTTTGGATTTCCCGTTTTCGCATTGAACTGTGTGTTTCTAATTTTAAATGCTTTGCTAATATTATTAAATGCTTTGCTAATATTATTAAGTCATCTTTTCTTAATTGCCCAAATGCACTCTGGTTTGGTTCCACCATAAATTCCTGGGGGGTAAACTCAGACATTATCAAATAACTGGTTTAACGTACACAAATAAATTGCGAAAACTTTACTTATACTTTACTTTACTGAAAACCTTTTCCTTTGAGAAGTACCTTTTCTTTTATCTTGTAAATGAAACTTTTATCTAGGGCCATCTTTAAAATTTTGTTTTGGAATGTTTTGCTTTATAGTCATGCAATATACTCTCACAATGTCAAATGAAACTCCCAATCGAAATAAAAATTCATCCCAGACGGGCCCCCAATTTGTTGCGAGCTGGTCCTTATTTTATTTGGCAGTGCTTTTGGTTCTATTTGCTCACAACAAAGATTGTGAAACCAATTACTTTCAATGATATATTGAACGACCTCACAACAAGTCTGATAATATCAACAAGCTTGTTACAAATTGGTAACAGCTTGTTCCAAATTTATTGACAACTTGGGACAAGCAGTGCAAACACAACTTGTTGACAGCTTGTTGGCAGACTTGCTACAAAATGTTTATGCATGTTCATTTGACATGCATCATTCTAAACTTTTATGCCAATATGCAAGAATTAAATAATGTCAAAGCTTTAGCTACATGTGCAAGAGTTAGTAAAATACGTCTGTAATTTTAGTCTGTAATTTTAGACTGCAATTTACACCTAGAGTCTGCACTTTTATTATTTGTGGTCTGCACTGGCACTGCAGATTATACTGACCGGCTGCTAATACGTTTTGTAACAAAGTACAAAACTTCGCTACAAGATATGCTATTATAATAAACGATTTAGAAAGAACATTAGGCCCGTTTCAGATGCTGCTCCACTTATTTATAAATAGTCTAGTCAATATAGGGGATAACCCTAAAAAAATTGCAAGAAATTGTTTTACACCGTTTTTATGTAGTATCAGACATGGGGAATAACATACTAAAAGTTTACTAAAATTGGTCAGGTGGAAACGTCTATTTGTGACGTCATAAAAAGATGGCCACCAATGACCAAAATGTGCCAAATATAAACTTTTAGAGAAGCTGTAAATTATAAATTGTAATTGTAATCATTCATTAACATGTACAAATAGTCTATTTGACCTTACTATCACAATATTAAGAATGTTCTATGCCCCAGAGATGAATATGTCACATTAGTTGATGACGTCATCAATGACAAAATGATCTAAAATAATCTTTTTTAAAACTATTGAATATGGCCTAGAGAGTTTCACATACATCTTAACTCTTTATCATCCGTCGATAAATTTGATATTTTTCATTGAATTACTTCTGATGAAAATATCTCGACGAGTATTCCCCCCTTTAAAACCGAAACCACCATTGGAATCCTCAAATAATAACCTTTCGAACGGAGGGTCAAATGCCGTCATAACATTACACAAACCAAAACAATCGTATATTTTACTCACCGCTTGGCCAAACATTTTGAATTTGATATCAAGAGAATCTTGAATATGTCTTGAACTCTTCGGTATTCGCCTCATATCAATATAAGTAAAATACTCCTTGTATTCACGCGCTTTCGTGTAGAAAATTTCGTTTGAATAGGGCCACTTGAAATATTTATTTTGAATTTTTCAATATATCGGGTTTTTACTCGCACGCGCGTGTCTCGTGATAAAATTGTCCAATAAGGAGCTCCTGTAGCCCCATGCACGGGCAAATCACGCTGTAGGGGTAATTTGACCTTTAGAATCGATTTCCGACGTTTCCCAAGTGATGGGATGTAAGCACGCAATGTTTTGGCAAATCTAATATGAATTTCCGGTCGAAGCTCTCGCGTAAAATTTGGATATTTTGAAATACCAAAATAAAAGATGCAAATCTGTAGATATAAGCTTGAAAATAACACTCTAAATAGTGTTTTTGATTGTGAATCGAACAAGACTATTACGAAAAAGATATCTTGAAAGGGGCCGAAATTATGTTCGGCGAAAGGTATGCCTTAGTAAACATTGTTTACATATTTCGGGATTATTGTGTAATATAATGAAATATGAAGTCGCTTGACCTCTAAAGGTCGTAAATCGCTAAAATATTGACATTTTACTAACTCTATCGATAGGAAATTTCCTACTGAATCGAACAGTGTTATTTTCATCTACATAGCTTGCACTGAACCAAAGATATAAATCTCCGAAGAACCAGGACGGTCCAGTCCTGGTCTAATTGGCACCGGACGAAAAAGAGTTAAAGGTTCATATGGTAAATTTCAGCATTCAGATTTCACTGTTCTTCATCATCAGAAACTGCTTCCTCACACATATTATCACATTGTCCATCTTGACATGATCCACATGCCTGTGAACAATTTAATTTGTGTTTTTTGCAAGTACAGCGAAGTGTGCTACATGAACCAGAACAGTTGCAGTGAATCATTTTCAGAAGTGCTTCTGGTCAGGTGCAGTGTCCATCATTACTGGAACTAGGATGTTGCTGTTGTTGTCCCATCCCCACTCGGTTGGGTCTAGAGTCTCATCCATACCCATCCATTGCATTACTTGGAGATAGCACCTCAGAGCGTGATGTTTTGTCGCAGATGTTGTTGGTGGGAGTCGTTCAGGTGCGACAAAATTTTTGGCTGCGCTTATTTTTTTGCAAAGGGTGGAGTATCTGATTGAAGAGAGACTTCCTCCGGATTTTCCATTGAACAATGCAACCTCTACAATAACATCCGCGTCTTGGTGTGGTGAAGAAAAGACTTTAGCATAGCCTTTCCATAATGCTTCACTGTGAAATCTACATAGTCGTTAGCAATGAAACTGTAAGTCTTTCCTTCAGTCCACTGCAATCGATGAAGAAGGGACCCTCCATCTAGGACATTGTGCTCGACCTCTGGAATATAATGAAGGACTGCTTCATCGGAACAAGATGCAACAAGGTTTTTAAGACCATCAAGAAGTTGGGCTTTGTCCACCTTACATAGCAGGTTTTTTGCCTCAAACAATGATGGAGGGTAAGGCGAAAGTTCATAGGTCAATACCTCTTCAAGAGAAAGGTCTCCTGTTTGAGAAACAACAAGAAACCTCTGGAACTACAGAGCTGGGTCGGCAACTTTGACTGTGCTAGCAGATGCCAGTGTCATTGCTTTCAGTTTTCTTTTGTAAGCGAAGAAAAAAACACCGGCTGTTCCTCCATGGTCACCAAAGTTTCCTTTCCAATGGCAAACAGGTTATGGACGTTTACATCCTCGTTGGCATTGACACCGGTAAATATGTTGCGCAAAGATGCCTCTTCGGAGAAGGGAAAAAATTCTTGGAGTTTTCCTGCAATTTTATCAATGTCTTCGTGATCTCTTTTCACCCTTGATGCAGTCGCTTCTTTGTGCTGTTCCCTGGTAACTAAGCTCTGGTCGGTAAAAGACTGCATCTTATTGCTGTATGCTGAAGACACTGGTGCAGACATAGTCTACAGGACTCTCTGGTGTTCAGACATTCCACTTCCTCTTGTGAGACCACCTGCAATCTTTAGGGACCGTATAAGAGCTTGCTCGATTACAAGATTGCAACCCAGTCCAGCCCAATACTGATCACTTCGCCTGATAACGTGCAACCCATTCATGAACTTTCGGAAGACTGATAGATTGTCCTTTTCAAGTCTTGTCATGGATTGGAGGTACAGATAAGCCGATTTCGGATCATTTGAATGTCCAGCTGCAGCAACTTTGTACAACGTATAGACAAGATGCATCAACCAGGATCCAGTACGGTCAGCTTTGATAAGTTCCCTCGCAGTTCTTATCATCTGCTGATAAACCAGCCACAGTTTGGCAGTGGCAGAGTGAGCTGACAATTTGCCTTCTTTGGAAGACAAGATCTGAGCTATTTTACCAAGGCAACTAGATGAGATTAACGAATCAAGATCACTATGCCCTGCCACTTCCTGTTCGTACAACTCCTCCAGTTTTTGCAATAGGTTTGCAAAGTAGGGCGATCGGACGTTACCTTGTCAACGACCTGTTGTGTGAGGCACTGATCGAGAAGATGTCCGCGTAATGCTCGTTGAACTGCCTTTCCAGTCATGACATGCTGCACTGCATTTTCGCCGTAAATGGTTCCTAGAATCTCCTTGATTCCCCTCCCGTCCATCAAGGTTCCTATGGCATCCAGAAGATTCATTAACGTGTGAAAGCTTCCAAGTAGCAACACAACACTTCGAATTTGGCTATCTCCTGGTACTTCATGTTTGATTTCTCAAGCTTTCCAGTAAAGTGGCTGATTGAATGTAACAACTGCTGTAGTTTTGTGTCCATTAGCAAGATTGCACAAGTATTCAAGGGTGGAGAAGATGCACAATGTATCTCCAGGATACATGTCAATTATTGGTAGAAAGACGACCGAAGATTGTCCTGGATGATCGCAATCTTTGTGTAACAAATGCATCATTCCCTGCCAGCCTGGCACGGACTTTTTGAAGCGAAAGGACATTGCCCACAATATATCAATCTTGTGGGCATCGCCGTCAAAGTAAGGCATGGGATCGAATTTTATGTTGTTTCGGGCGTATTTCGCAAACCGATATTCTTTGATATCAACTTGAGCTAGATCAACAATCTTTAACTGCATGATCTTTTGTCTGAGAACAGTGTGACTGGTCTGCCTTCCTGGGGTTATGGCCGCTATCATCCCCATGCCGTGAAATGTTCCCTTTCCATCTAACAGGATGATGTTATGGTCAACGTTATCAGCTGCAAACAGAAGGGCTGCATCTAGTGCGTTTATGTCACCACCTAGTACGTCCGGAGCAACAGATGCTGCAGCGTTTTCCTCAAAACATTGAACTTCGGAATATGAGGAAGAAAAACCCATTGCAGCCAGAGTATCTACTAGAAATCATGACCTGAAATGGTGGTGCATCTGCACTGCTAATCCAAACTGTAATGGGGCTACTACAGCCCTAGGTCGTACAGCTTGGATGATACATTGCCCAATACTTGCTTCTTTCCTGCAAATATCCTTTCCAACAAGGAGGTTTTCGAGTAAGCAGTGTAAGCTAGGTGGAACATACTCTAATGTGGAATTTCATTCAACATCTGAAGCTTTTGGGTACTGATCTGTTGAAAGTGGAATCATTGACTTAATGTCGCTCTTGATGAGTTTGGCTGCAGTCTCTATAATAGCGCTCTTTCGGGCTCCTTCATCCATTTCCGGTTTACTGAAGTAGTCTTGATGCCTTTTTTATTTCATTTCCGCAGAATAAACAATGTGTTCTGCTGTCATAAGGCCCAATAGAAGTGTGTGCACTTCGTTTGACAGGTAGGGACGGCTTGTTGAACTTTGCCTTCTTATACAAATCTATTTGCTTCTTATTGATGTAATTCATGCGACATTTTTTGTGCACTACAGTCCCAGAAGATACAATGATCCTATCACCTCTTTCAATGATGGCCTGGTTGATTCCTTCAGCCCCTTTCTCACCAATCACTACTCGTTCTTCATCTCTTAATACATTGGTGCATAAAGGGCAATTATCCTGGCTTGCTCTCATTTGAGCGTCTGAAATGCAAAATGAATAATTCTACAAGGAAGAAGTCACATGGTTATAGGTACTTTTAAGCTACTGGCAAACATAAACACTGAAACGTTTTTAGTACGATCCGCAAAGTGTATTTGACTTTTTCTGTTCAATGGGCAGAAGAGTTTTCTTTTCCTGCTTTTTATAATTATTCAAGAAAAATGTTGTTAAGAACGTTTTAAAAGCAAAGATATGTACCTGCCTATATTACAGTAGCAGAGATCATACTTCAAGATGCATTTACTCAACTTTTATTTTATGTTGTTATAACATGAAGTACTAGAAGATAAGTGGTAGCCATGGTAATATGGTTTTTTTCCAACAATTTTCCTGTTGCTTTTTTGCATAAAAACAACAAAAATAATAGGAAATATATCTTTTTAACCATAGAATTTCCAGTTCTCGATTTGTACAACATATAGACAAGTTATTAGACATTGTATAACTGTAATTTTGTTTTGATTTGAACATTTAAAAAAGTTTTATGAGCGGCAGCTTTTTGACAATTCTACACTTTGGCAAAAAAATCTGTACAGTATGTGGCCCAGTTTCGGGTCATTTCAGGTTTGAACTGCTGTATCTTCCTTTTCAGGAAAGGTACGATTTTTAAATGCTCACTTGAGAATAGGAAAGGTGTTTCTTAACAATATTTCAAAAGATTGACTTTTCTTACCTTTCACTTTTAGAATTATTTATATTTTTAAGAATCATTTTAGGTGCCCAGTATCGGGTCAACTGCACCAGTATCGGGTCACTTCAAGTTTCTTTGTTTATTGTATAAAAGCGTTTGTTTTACGGCAATTTTCGATCATTTTGTATAGTTTCAACATGTCTTAAGTTTTTAACAATTTTTTTGTGAGGTTTTGAGAAGGTTTAGACATGATATTTCCAGCTTGAAACTACCTCTTCAACACAGTTTTTGCGGAGTGCGTTCTAAGCAGTGCTTCCACTTTCAAAGGTTGAAACATAGTTGACCCGAAACTGGGCCACAAAGCCAAACTAAAACGTAATTTGTGGGACCAGAATATATCTCTGAAATTCTGAATAACTGAATTGCCATTTCATATTTATATATTCTCGGCAATAATCTATCGTTAGGACAAAATTGGGCAGTTACATGGAGAATTACATATCAATAATACGATTTATTGTTATTAGTTAGTTTTACTGCGCAGTGAAATGAACAAATTTTAGTAAAAGAATATAAACATACCCGGACAAAAGGGATTCTTCTTTGAATACAGTTCAACTAAAAAGCCTGCGAAAACTATCATCCAAAAAAGGAAAGGTTCACCATTATATCTATATATTTCATTTCGCGTCGCTTTTTATCTCGGCGGAAAAAAATGAAATCAAATTTCTATTGACCCGCTACTGGTACTGACCCGAAACTGGGCCACATACTGTACTCCTGCCTATATTTACTGCGAGTATGATGAGGTTTTATATGGCAAAAAAGTCTCACATGTGCGCATTTTAAATTTCTAACCGCCAAAGACTAAAATTTTATTAATATATTACATGTTATTGTGTATTTTTTGTTTTTTGCTAAATATATTAGCACTTCCAAAATAAAAATTTCATAACTTAAACTTTAAAACAAAGCCAGAAGTACGACCACAATAAAGCCGTAGAGGTGTAAAACAGAAAAGAAGTTAGCTCACCTTGTTTCCTTTATACAACTTCACATTTTCACCTATTGAACTACAACACTTATTAGTTTATTGCTTGCAACACGAGAGGAAAGAAATGAGATAACAGAACATCAATGTCATGATGTCATTGATGACGTCATAACATGGCAAGCATAACATTCTTGGAGGCGTATAATATTGTTACTATTGTGATATTTTTGTTTTGGACAATTTGCACAATCTATTACAATTTCCAGCACTTCCATAAGTAGATATTCAACATTTTTAGGTCATTGGCGGCCATCTTTTTACGACGTCATGAGTAATTTAAATAAGTTTGTTTCGACTGATCCGTGTTTTGTAAGAAAATTGCTAGAAGGATGCTAGAATTGCTAGAAGGAAACGTATGCAAAATCAAAATTGGTTCCTCAAAGCGAAACAAAGGGTGAAAAAGTTTTAGGATTGGCATGGAATTTACAGAATGACACAATACGTTTCAATTTGGAACATATTGCAACTAAATCTTCAATCCACTTATCTAATCGCTTTTTCATGTCATTGCCAAATGTCCCATTGCCAAATGTCCCATCCTAACTTACTCTTACAGACATCTTGAAATAGTATTTTCATGCTCACAATAATTCCACTGATTAAACCTAACGGATCAAACAAGCTACTCAATAAACTCAACAAGCTTCTTTTGGTCGGTTCCGAGCTTTCTTTCTTACGTGCAACACAAGAGATATACGTTGATAGATGTTTATATGATGCAAATGTAGGAAATATTTCAGAATGTTATTTACATGGCTTTGGCGACGCGTCCAAGAATGTGTATTGCGCTGCGGTGTATTTGGTTTATCGTACTGAAGGCGGAGAGACGCGCGCAAAATTGATAGCAAGTAAGACTAGGGTAGCACCTTTGAAAGAATTGCCGATTCCGCGCTTGGAATTAATGACAGCTAGGATACTTGCACAGCTTGTAACCACTATTCGCAGAGCGCTAAGTTCACAGCTAAAATTAGATGACGTTCGATACTGGCTAGATAGCAAAACAGCGCTGTGTTGGATAAGGAACCAATGAAAGCAATTTGTAAAACATAGGGTTAATGAGATTTTACAGTTGACAAATAAGAATGAGTGGTCGTATGTTTCAACGCATGAAAATCCTGCGGATATAGGAAGTAGAGGGGTTCTAGCCTCACAGTTAAAGGGTAATCAGTTATGGTGGAACGGACCGACATGGTTATCAGAGCAACCAAGTAATTGGCCATCATATTTTGAAATTAGTAAAACGCCAGAGAGTTTTCTTGAAGAGAAGAAGTCCGCAACAATTTTATCTGTTAAGAAAGACCAAGTAAGCAGTTTAAAGGCTGTAATTGATATAGAACGTTACAGCAGTCTAAAAGAGCATAAGTTTACTTGTTCGGTAATAGAAGCATGCCACCAGAAAGTACACCACTGCGGTGTTAGATCGACGTCAGCGGAATTAAGGTCACGATTTTGGGTGCCAAAGGGCAGACAGATTGTCAAAAAGATTTTGAATCAATGTCTTAATTGCAAAAGACTGATAGGCAAGTCACATAAAGAGCCAGCAACAGCAGCACTACCAGAGTTTCGGGTGACTAAAGCGCCACCATTTTCCAGAGTAGGAATAGATTTTGCAGGACCGCTATATGCAAAGGATGCTTCTGGTGAGATGAAAAAAGTATATATCGCATTGTTTTCATGCTGCATCACCAGAGCAGTCCACCTAGAATTAGTAGATGAAATGTCGGCAGAAGCGTTTAAGCATTGCTTGCGGAAATTTACAGCGCGGCGAGGAATGCCTAAGCTAATAGTTTCAGATAATGCGAAAACCTTTCAAGCAACAGAAAAGGATTTGAATAAGTTATTTGATCATCCAGAAATAAAGTCATACTTTAATAATATGAGAATAGAATGGAAGTTCAATTTAGAAAGAGCACCCTGGTGGGGTGGTTTCTTTGAGAGAATGGTAGGCCGTGTGAAGCAGTGTTTAAGAAAGACATTAGGTAGAGCTAGATTGAAAAGAGATGAGTTAGAAACAGTGTTAGTAGAAGTAGAGTGTATGATTAATTCTAGACCGTTGACGTACGAGTATGATGAAGTGGGAGACGAGGTGTCAACTCCATCTCATTTGATTTTCGGTAGGAGAATAAATTCATTACATGATGTGGTAGACGAGCCAGAGGAAGCTATAGGTGAACGTGAGTGTACAGCAAGATTTAGCTATCTCAGTAATAGATTAGAACACTTTTGGAACAGGTGGAGGAAAGAGTACTTGATAGGACTCAGAGAAGCTCATAGGAACGAAGGTGATGGGTCAGCCATTGCCCCAAAGGTAGGTGATGTTGTAATAGTTCAGGACGAAGATAGAAAGAGAGGCGAATGGAAGATGGCAGTTGTAGTTGAGTTACTTAAAGGAAGAAATGGCGTAGTGAGAGGAGCAAAAGTAAAAGTGGTTTCTAGTGGACGACCTGTGTACCTATCCAGACCAGTTCAAAAATTGTACCCCTTAGAGATTAAATGTCAGAGGGAAGGGGGGTGGGTAGGTACTGCGCCGGAAAAAAGTAATTGTGCAGAAACCAACAAATCAAAAAGAAGTACTCCTCCAAGGAAGGCAGCGCTAGATTCGAAATGCAAATCTAGGTTAATACTTGACTCATAGCGACTCAAGCGGGGGGAGTGTGTTAAGGAACTTCAAGATTAAGGCGCGATGTGGGCGCAGCGACCGTGAAACGCGAATACGCAATAATTGACATAAATTGCGCGTAAGCATGATGTAGATACAGCATGTTTCAGCGTTAAAATGGGATGAAAATATGACACACCTTAGACATAACTAAGGGAAGGAACTTTATGTGGTTAAACATGACGTTTGAACAGAAAAATGGTTTCCTAGTTTTAGAGTATAAATATGAGTGTAAAAATATTATATTGTGGGCGTTGATTGGAAAGTGTTAGAGTGTATTAGTATGAAATGTATGTAGAATGGTTAGTTTAATGATTGATTGTAAAAGATTGTTTGAATAAAGGAAAATAAGAAAAAAGGAAATACAGTCCCAGTGGTTTGTTGACTGAGCCAGCGAGCGGAAATTTCTTATAGTTTAACCAAACTTGTGCGAAGAAATTACAACAGGGCGTGAAGTTGAACTGTTTTATATCCACACTTGGTTATAATATTTATAAACCGATTATCCGATATAAAAAACCTGGCCTTAACGCGCTCTATAAAGACTATGCATATTTGGGAAAGCCTCAGAAGAAAAAAACACGCATTCCAAAGCCAAAGGGAGAAAGGTAAATATATGGGAATATTTTGTTTGGAACCCACGGCATTTTCTCAGGACTGACTTCTTATTCGGGACCCACGACTTTTTTCTCGGGACCCACGACTTTTTATTCGGGACCCACGACTTTTTACCCACGACCCACGACTTTTTACCCACGACGTTTTACCCACGACTTTTTACCCACGACCCACGACTTTTTACCCACGACCCACGAATTTTTACCCACGACTTTTTACCCACGACTTTTTACCCACGACCCACGACTTTTTACCCACGACTTTTTACCCACGACCCACGACTTTTTACCCACGACATTCTACCCACGACCCACGACTGTTAGCTAGTCCCCTCTGTTTGTAGTGTTGTTGCTGTAATTACATGATTGTTTTAGACCAATAACCCACTGATGTTTGATTGGTTCCCAACATTGGTTGAAGTATGTAATCACTGGCTGCACTTTGGTGTCATAGAGTGCCTGTATGTCTTCTTTATAATCATCTTGACCTACAAAGATAAATAGTAAATAACCTTAACTTTGAAAAAAATTATTTTTGCCAATATTTTTCTGTTACCATTAACATGCAATGTTCCTGAATGTATTGTGTTAACACAATTGTGAATTACCTGCAGAATATGCAATTTTTTTAATGATTTCTAGACAGAGATTCTTTTGGTCTAATGATATACTCATCTTCTCTGTGTTCACCTGTCTTTTGATTGACCATAAAAACATGGAACAGACACAACTGCAGACATGCATTTGGGAATGCTTCACCATAAACCATTCTCTCTGTGAAATCTTTGTCTGTCATTAATGATACGCACTTTCTCCCAGGTACTGTTGTGCTTTTTGAAAACTTCAACGAGTTCTGCCATAGTGTTAGCATCCTACCTGACAACCACAAACACAATTTCACTTTCACCATTGCCATCAACAATAAGCTGCAGGAACACTGGCATTCTTAAATTATTGAGTTTATATGTTGCATCAACCATAACTAACTCAGGAAAATGCCTAATTTTTTCTTTCTTATCCCCATCTTGATAATAAATTGACTTCAGTACCCCATCATCATCTGTTATAATTTCAATCGTTTTATCTGTAACAAAGATAGCTAGTTTAGGATGTCCTAACTAGTCAAAGTCTTTTCCACAGACAAAAAAATATTTCCTGTGCTTCCATAGCCTGCGTAGCAGGCGGTATTCGCGGGCATGAGAAATACCGCCTGCCCAAAAACTACACATTCTGAGTTCTCCCCGGCAGCTGGGTGCTGGATCATTCTGATTGGTCAGAATGTTGATTTTGAATTTTTGATTGACAGGAGTAAAGAATTAGAATAATTAGTGCTAATTTTAGAAGTTACTGTTGCCGTATTTATAATATAAACTATTGTTATTTTCGTAATTGATACCGATATATCGAGTGATGGCATACACTAACCAAAAAATAACGAATGTATTAATTGAGAATTAAGCGTTGAATTCTTTAATCTTTATCTGGAATCGGAAATCGCTTCGTCTTGAAGAATGAACAACGAATATCAATCAACATTTGTTGCTTGTTTCTACGGAGCCCCCGACTACGGAGCCTCTGACGGCTCATGTTACAACAAATGTTATTGCCAGTTAAATTGTTACCTAGGTTGACAATTGACAGTTAACTTGACAGTTAACTTGACAGTTAGGTTGCCAGTTAAGTTGACAATTGCAAGTTAAGTTGACAGTTAACTTGATAGTTAGGTTGCCAGTTAAGTTGACAATTGCCAGTTAAGTTGACAGTTAGGTTGACAGTTAAGTTGACAATTGCCAGTTAAGTTGACAGTTAATGTATGCACAAGCGAACAGTATTTTATGTTGAGAGGGCCACGTCGAAGAACACGGTGGTTGATATTTTGATAGATGTAAAATAAATCATCAGGTTTTATTTGATATTTGTATTAAGGCTTAAGCGCTACGTTAAATTAATGAGCAGGTTGATTAATTCATATGTTGGATGAAATGGCATATGATGGCTTAGTGTAGAGGTCAGGCATTGAAAGTAGTACAATAGGCTGACTTCTAATTACAGTGCGAACCACGATATTAGTTATGTATGAGATTTGGGCATTATGTCTTCGAATTAGGAGGGTAAAACATAAATACACGTGAAATGTTTTTTGTTTATAGTGAAAACATCGTTGCAATGTTTACATTTCATATTAGTCACGTGATTACAAAAATCCAGGGGTTCCTCTATAAAAGAGGTGGTCCACGATATTAGTTTCATAAGTCATCCGGCAATATGTGATGCAGGAAAGACTTCACAGAAGCCGAGAAAGCTACTATTATAAAGGAAATTGCAAAGGGCAAAACAACCAAATCAATTGCTGAAAGAATAAATCGCCATGTGGTCACAGTGACAAGATTTTTGCAAAATCTTTCAAAGAGGAAACCTCCTTCTGATCGCGGCATTAGAAAATCAGTGTCAAAGCGGGATATGTATCGCCTGAAAAGAAACTTACGTAAAATGCCAGAAGCAACAAGTAAAAGAATCTTTAAGGAAGCAGGTCTGCCAGATGTACCAAAAACCACCCGAAATTGTATCCTTGGGAAGCTAGGTTCCATGAAGACTATGATTAAAAGGCCTTCCTTGACACCTAAGCACAAACTTTTGCGGATGGAATGGTCAAGAAAGTATATGAAGACAAACATGAAGTTTGTTATTCTTTTTACTGACGAGTCGAGAGCGTCACTAGATGGTCCTGATGGCTGGGCTAAAGGATGTGCTTTCAATGGTGATAATTGCCTTAACAGGATGAGGCGTCAACAAGGTGGTGGTGGGGTTATGATTTGGGGCGGAATCATTGGAAATGTTATCAATGGTCCCTTCCGCGTTCCTGAAGGTCTAAAGTAGTCCTCAGCCATGTATATTGCCAGTTCCCGAAAAATTCCCTTGAGCCATGGTTGGATAACCTTCCTTTGGCAACATTGAAGAAGATTATCTTTATGCATGTTAATGTACCGTCCCATGTAGCAAAGGCAACAACGCAATTTCTTCATTCACTTGGATTTGTGAATGAAACTCTGATGGTTTGACCTCCAATTTCACCAGATTTGAACCCAATAGAGAACTTGTGATCAATAATAAAGCTTCATGTTTATGCGAATGGCAAGCAGTACTCATCAAAAGATGATCTGTGGATGGCCATCAAAGAATCAGCAGCCACTATCCCTAAGTCCATCATCGAGAAACTGACTGATTCAGTGAATGACAGACTTTTTGAAGACATCAAATGTCACGGGGCCCATATTAATAAATAAACTTTTTCTTTAATTTCTATTGTTATGTTTGCCAACTTCTATCAACGTGTATTATTTCTAAAAATCTGTTTTTGAATTTATAAAAATTTGAAAAAATTAAATATCAATAAAAATTTGAGACAATAGCTTAATGTTTATTTGTTTTGAATGCTGTCAACTTCGTTTTTTTGAAATACAACTAATATCGTGATTCAGTAAAAAAAAGCACGTTAATTAAACTTGATTCACAGTTTTTATAGTATTATATTTGATAAATTGAGTAGTTGTGTAGAGTTTTCAACCAATATTTCGTAAATTCAATAAATTTTTATGACAATTTGCGTTTGAACTAATATTGTGGTTTGCACTGTATAAAGGTCGTCTTTTTTCAATTAACCCAGTATACATACATGTGTTTATATGACAAAGGCAGTTTTGTTGAATAGTATGAGTTTTCGTGTAAAGCACCGTTGTATTTACTTAAACTATACAGTAGTCTGTAAAAGTAAGTGATTTTTTTAAATCTGCCTTTTGTTGGTGTACTAACTTGAAGCCGATGATTTAATATGCAGCTAATTCAATTCATGTTGTTCTTACAAAAACTTAAGTCTTAAACCTTAAACTCTGAGCCGCACGCAAGGGTGATAGGTAATGATTGCTTATTTACACTCGTAAACTTTGAAATTTGGCTTTGAGAATACTTAAGACATATAGTGAACTCCCGACAGAATAAAACACTTGCCGCAAAGGCAATTTTCTGAATTTAAGGGCCTAATAGGTAAAAACCCATCATCCCTTGCTTTAAACCATGGTTTAAGATTTGAGGTTTTGGAAGGAATTCGTGGGCTCAAACTCCTGCTGGCAGCCATTTTTGGGATGAATAGATTAGATTATCTGGAAAGTTTTTACAATCCGTCATATATGTAAACCATCCTTTTATAATCCTTGCTCTTTTTGTTTGATTTTTATCAGAAATGTACCAAACAAGGTATTTTTATCGCTATTTGTTGTATTTTAGTAAAATGTAAACAATAACAAAAGCCCGCAATGCATGACCCTGACACTAATCCTTTAATTGAATCAGCTGTAAAAACATACTGTAGTCTTCGTTGCCTGCATTGAATAGAGTTGAATAATTAGAAACCTGCAGATCGAAACCAACAGCGATACATTTATTGACTAAAAATTATATTCAAAGTCGACGTTTTACACGAAGTTTTCCTTTGTATTTACAGTATCTAATAACAATTGACTAAGAGTTATATAACGCTCAAAAATGACATGCAGTGAAATGTAAAACAGCAGGAAACATTAAAGTTAACAACGGTAAGAAATGGGCTATCAATGCCAACATTAAAATATTGGTAGATCTTTCTTTGCTTACAGTATGTTTTCAATTACATTCACCAAAAACAAGTACAGGTTTCTTGCATCTTCTGGAGGAACAGGCATATCAATAATTTGCTCCGTCATAATAATCTGTGCCAGCTGGAGAAATTCCACTGAACAGTCAAGTTCAGGCCCTTCACTGCAACAAAGTTCCACAGCCATATCAAGTTCATCTAGATTCACATTGACTTTCAAGTCTCTGTGGTCTTCCATTTCGGGTAACACAAACAAAACCTCAGGTCGACCAGCGGGAACTTCTTGGTTTCTTCACGGACGTATACGATGTGTGTTCCATAACCTTGCTGCACGATTTAGCTCTTGCCTGATAACGGGGATATAACAAAACTTCAAACACTCTTGGTGTATGATATTGGCATCACAAAAGAGACCACTTGTTTTCAGTGTTTTGAAATGATCCATCCACCACTGCGCACAATTCTTTCGTAACTGACCCCACCAGGCCTTAATGCGTTGGTTGGAAGTCGATTTCCCGTACATAAAGGACTTGTGTCCTGCTAAGCCGTCAGCGCAATCACGTCGCAAAAATCGTTGTGCTGCAGCGACACGAACATTCTTTGTCCCGCAATCTGCACGCACAACCCTAGGGAGTCCTCCAACTTGACGGATACAATCTATGAAATATTTAACGATCAAGCGAGGGTTTTTATTCGTAGCTGCAACTTCCAGCCACATTATGTGCCTACTGTAGCCATCGATGCAACCGTGTATGCAAACTCCATAGGGTTTAAGTTTATCGTATCCGTCCATGTGCCAAATGAAATTTGGACCCGGTACACTATACTCTATTCTCTCTAGTCGATGTTTCTGCCGTGCCTTCACACGTCTGGGGTCAATTACTTTAAGAGCACAGCGAACAGTCTCCCGAGAGACAACGAGTTCATGATCTTCACGTAACCTTTGCCACATTGACCTGTACCCAATTCCGATTCCATTACCTTTTAACTCATGTTCTATACCACTAATAACATCCTCTAAAGGACTTTGTCTACCCCTTCGCCAAAGACCTCTTCTTGTAAGTATTCTCTTTAACTGACTTAAACTGATCTTGATGCCATGGGAGACCAACAAACAAGCCAAAATTTCATATCTGCTAAAACCCAGTTTGAAATACTGTTCGATCAAATCATCGCGAAAACCATTGTTGATTTCTAAAGCTGGCAGATAGGACGGTAAAACAGCCTTCAGAGGTAAAGGTAAACAGATAACAACGAGCCAGAGAGCACACAAGAGCATTTTTGTATCTGTGAAGCAGATATATTGCTATCGCAAACGTACTGTTACCGTACAGTATGTTAACACATAGCCATTCAATGACGAGCTTATATAATTTAAGGAATTTAAGCCAATCAGCGATCAGGTTACATCAATTGTTTACGTCGTGCTCGCTGATCTAACCTGCGAATGGGCATACTTTAGCCTTGTCAGGGCTTGCGTATAAATCGTGTTTATATTCTTTCAAAAATATCTTGATATTTTTATCAATTTATCTTGAATTGGCTTGTCTTGTTTTCTCGCCATTCGCCAGAAGTTATTTATCAACATGGAATCTTATCCTCATCTGGTAAGTAGTCAAATACCACATATTATATATTTAAATACCAAATTTGTGCAAATATATGTTCCACATATTTTATAATACATGAGTTCGCCAGTTCGGCAAATATTTACTATACTATCTATAGTTAATATTGCCGTATCTTCGGCATAGAGTTTACATGGAATGCACTCTGGAATATTTTTATTAATATATTACACCGTATAAAATATTGGATATTTTCGAGGATATTTTTAAGCCATTTGTCAACATAGTTCACAAAAAGATTTATACAGTATTAAAAACAATCCTTCTGTGAATTCTGTAATATTTTAAACAGTGAAAACATTCTCAGGAGATATTGAATTAAATCCTGGTCCTGTATTTCTGTATATTGACTCCGTAAGTCTGTTCAAAACAACAGTCCAACTATAAAGCTGCCATCAAATGTAGTGTTGGAGCAAAGGTTGAAGATGTTATCAGTTAAAATACTTATACATTTTGGTTTTACACATTAGAGTTAATTAAACAAAATTTTTACAAACATTTTCAAATAAAAGAATCCTCACCCTCCCGAGCCTCATTACATTGTCATTTTGCTTTCTAACATAAATATTTTTCTTTAGAGATTAATACAATAATGAAGAATAAATGTACTGGATATTGGCTGGATAATTTTGTCAGAACAACCAACTTGCAAGACAATCTTACCTAAATTCATTAGTATGGAAAATAACTTAACAGCTACAATGAGTAATCATATATTATATGGTGGATTTGATCAGTGGCACACAATTTACAAAACTAAACTTGTGATACCTTCTACTCAAGCCGATAATCCCCACAACACAATTGTTTTTGTGTGAATGTGCGGTACGTGTTAAACCGAACAGTGTGGTATATCATTAACTGTGCACAGAACTGGAATTTAATTATATACTTCACTCATGACCTTCAAAACATTCTCAATTATTCAGTGGTCTTCGAGATGTTCACCAAATATTTTGTGTATGTTACTCAACAGTTAACATGGCAAGTGTAAACAACAAGTGACATAACTTTTGCTTCATATGATTACAATAAAGTTTTGAAAATTTGATGAGTATGGATTGAATATAGGCCAAATAGCCGGCTGTATAGCCACTTTGAATATTGTTTGCATGAAATTTTTATTTCCTGACTGCATAATTATCTGTTACAATCATAATCACATTATAAAGTTAGTTAAATTTTCTCGGTGCGGGGGTGGGGGTGGGGGGTTAGCACTTGCCCTGATGCACTCCCCGCTGTGCACAGCCCTGTTTTAAATCTTATCTGCTATTATATCTGCTATTATAATAAGTGATGAAATATTTCAATTGTCCCATGTCATCTTCATTATTCAGTTTCTTTCAAGAAAATACAAAATGTGAATCAAGTTTTTTCGCAGATACATGTACGCATCGCGTACCTATTTTTACAACTGTCGCACTAGATTCTAAGACTACAGTATCAATTTAAGTGTCACTTATTAAGTGTCAATTGACATTTTAACCGTCAACTTAACAGCCAACTTAACTGTCAACCTAACTGTCAACTTAACTGGCAATTGTCAACTTAACTGGCAATTGTCAACTTAACTGTCAACCTAACTGTCAACTTAACTGGCAATTGTCAACTTAACTGGCAATTGTCAACTTAACTGGCAACCTAACTGTCAACTTAACTGGCAATTGTCAACTTAACTGGCAACTTAACTTGCAAGTTAACTGTCAACTTAACTTGCAATTATCAACTTAACTGGCAACTTAACTGTCAAGCTAACTGTCAACTTAACTTGCAATTGTCAACTTAAATAGCAACTTAAATGACAACTTAACTGTCAATTGTCAACCTAGGTCACAATTTAACTGGCAATAAAATTTGTTGTAACATGAGCCGTCAGGGGCTCCGTAGTATGTCAGGGGCTCCGTATGTCTCGGCTTGTTAGATGTGATACCGTGATAAAAGTGCAGATTTGAAAATACAGGCTCGTAAATGACACTCTAAGTAGTGTTTTTGAAGTGACTATGTTGGAACAAGACTATTACAAAGTTACGTGCAAAGGGGCCGAAGTTATGTTCGGCGAAAGGTATGGCTAGTCTATATTATTGTTCAGACAATTGCGTAATTTGATAATACACGAACTCGCTTGACTTTCAAAGCTCATAAATCGCTATAATGTTGACATCGACTAAAACTATTGCTATGAATGAGGACATATTGTTACCGTGAATCCAACGTGGTATTTTTGTCTTAATAGCATTGAATGAACCGAAGATATGAAATGTCAAAGCCGTATATTTGTGAGTTTGACAAATAATTAAAATAAATACATTAAGATGGGCGGGACCATGCGTTCGGTGGGCAGAACTCAGAATGTGTAGTTGTTGGCCAGGCGGTATTTCTAGCTTCTACCGCCTGCTACGCACAGGGCCACAGAGAGGTTGGCGGGTGCCCGGGGATGCGTACGTTGCAGATACTTTCCAGGGACTTTATCTCATTTTTCTATGCCTTATTTGGTACTTAGCCAAATAAAACAGATATCTTGTCCTTTGCGCGCGCAAATATTTAACACACAAAAAAGACTGGGGCCCAACAAAAAATTATCAGGGGCCCCCAGCACCTCGGGGCCCGGGGCAATTTGCCCCCCTGCCCCCCCCCCTCTCGGCGGCCCTGGCTACGCAGGCTAGTGCTTCCAATATCCCTGCAGTCATTTACAAGTAATTTACTTTTACAGGCATCATTATGCTATTTTTATTATTCACTATCTTATTGTACACAAATTCTTTTTGACAGGCAGGTCGCTATTTCCATGGCCGTTGTTAAGAGACATGGTTAGGGGGTGTTGGTGACCCCCCCCTCCCCCCCAATTGTCTACAAAATTTTCAGTTACCAACACCTCCCCCCTCCCAAAGAAAAGACCCTTAAATGCACAATGCTATGTACATTTGTATTTTTTGGGGTGGAATTTTGCAGGTCACGATAAATTAACCTTCATTTCATTAACTACCTACCAGAAATTTTCCATTTACAATTCTCTATTTACCAACAAAATCCTTCATTTTCACAAATAATTTTCAGGGAGTGTCACCTAGCGACAGCTCTGATTATTTCCCAGGCTTGATCGCTTTGCAGTTTTACTGATGATTTGATATTGTTACCTGTCCCTGATATGTCACCAAAAATCTCTTCTAAGTTGGTTCCAGTAGATTTTATTTTTACATCTTGATTTGCAATATCTCTAAGTGTCACCAACTTTCCAGTCTTTTGGCGGATATGGTCTTGAAGGATTTTCTTGTTTGGCCTTGTGCTTAATATCGTTTTGACTTCCTCCAACTCCTGTTGATCAAGTCTACGTTGCTTTGATAGGAATTGAAAAGCTTCCTAAAAACAGAATGAACAATATAAATAAATTTTAACTCATTCAGGCAAAAAATAGTATGGCGTTAGACAGCTTAAGATGCAAAAGTGGGGTGCATGAGGGTGCCAAGATGCAACATACCACAGTCTTGGATATCAGCCAAGGTTAAAAATCTTAGGGTCTCGCAGCCAAAAATTGTTTAGTTAGCCCTCCTGAAGTATGACTATGAGGGTCAATGTTATTTGTTCACAAACAAATTGTTTAATATTTGACAGCCCTTCGCCCCCAGCATGAATTTACATATTTATACAGCATATAAAATGATGATTTAATAAGATTAATTGTATAATAAATAATAAAGATCAATAATCATGCACTTGTCAACAGAAACCCCCATCCCCCCACCCTGGGGAAACATGGGACATAGACTTTTTAGAAACTAATGAAAGAAAATGCCCCACCCTTAGGGGCAAGCAAAACGCACTGTGTTTTCTAAATCTGTCTATTGTGCAAGTGCAGAGATTGTATATATTAAAATGGACCAAAGCAAAATAATTTGTATTTCCATATTCAAATTTTTGCTTAGGACAGGACGCATGCTACAGTATTACCATTGCTAAACAACTAACCTGATAACGACTGGGCATTTCAAGCCCAATAAAAATTAACCAGAAGTCTCACTCTCCCCATACATAAATGCTGTTGTTACTGGCCGCGCTCGTTTATAAATCGCTAAACCAGTGTTATTGGAATGGCTATTTATGCTGATATAATCATACCCAATCTCGTCCTCAAACTACTGTATGCCTGCTCGCAGATATGCTGCAAAAATAGCATGATCCCAATACTTGAGGTTGACGAAAATTGCCTAAGCCTCCACCCCATGGGGCATAATAAAATGTCTAAAGCCTCATTATACACCCCCGTACCGCCTATGCCTATGTTTTTTTTGTTTTTTTTGGGGGGGGGAGGGTTCTGATGACAAGTGCATTCATTAATGAGATTTAATTTACTATTTAATGCAGTAGATACCTTGTTAATTGGATGGTTGTGGGATGCTTCCATTTTTACCACCACCACACTTTGCCCGTTCTTAGATGCACAAATTTGAATAAAAGAACCACAATTCTCTCTAAACGAACTAGACATGAAAACGTCGGTTATTGGGTATGATTATGGAAATGTCGGACCTATAATAAAATTTAGATAATCCAATGGAGATGATGAATATCCAATCCAATGGAGATAATGAATATGGAAATGTTGGACCTATAATAAAATTTAGATAATCCAAAAATATGAAATAATCCTTGGCTACCCTACGGGCTATATCTACGAGATTGCACTGGTATACCTATATAAAACTGACAGTATTTTCCACCTTGCCGTGTTATCGCCAGGTTCACTCGAATCGGAACTGCTAACGAGAACGAAATCCCTTAATCCCGAGAACCAGTAGCCATATGATAATTGCGAATATCAAAGTGGGGGGGGGGGGTTTGTGAAAAATGCTTGTATATTCTATGCCTGATGCACGTGCACGCAGTGTAGCACGCTTTTCAGTAGCAAATTTTCATTTTCTGTTTAGATTTTAATAGAATCATACGAAAATCCTAAAAATATAATTTCAAAATCGAAAGTCCATAGTCCAGTCCAGTCCAGTGTCTACAATATGATCACTTTGCCAGTTTTTATTCCGCAATCTTGGTACAGAATTATCCAACAGGATTCCACGAAGTAATGAAGGATTAGGATTAGTTTTCAGGGTTAGAGTTGCATTTAGTGGTTTAGTGTACCGCTTGTGGCCCACAATTCGCTACGCTTTAGGGACCGCTCATTATTTATTGTACAGGGGGGGATTGAGGAGAAACTGGGGGGCCTTTAAATTTTTTAAAACCTGAAAGGGGGGGCTTTGAAAAAATACAGAGAGACGATAGAAGGGGGGCTTTGAAAAGATTTACCAGTTTGAAAAAACATTAGTAGTTTTAAAAATGTATCACAAAACAACTTAACAAATAATGTTTATAGACCTAATAATATACATAAAGATATTACTCGACTGTGATTGGTTGATTTCAGTGCAGTTAATCCCAAACAACAGTGCAATTTTCTGTAATCACAGTGCAATTTTTTGTAATCACAGTGCAATTTTCTGTAATCACAGTGCAAAAATCTGTAACAAACTGATCTGATTGGTGGAAAAACATTGTGATGATTTTAATCAGTTTAATTAAAGCAATTTAGTTCAAAGAAGTAACGGTCACAGATTGCTTCAAAACAAAACAAACATGGCGCCGCGCTACACAAAGTAAAAGTTGCCTTCACGTGGAAAATATGGCTTTTATCTTTATTTTTAAATGGAAAAGCATTTGCCTTAAACAAGACTAACAAAAATTACATAGTTGAGTGGAATTTTCAAGCTGTTAGCGTTGTATAATGTGATATAAAAGACTGAGTCCGTGTTTTACAAATCGCGGACTGAATTTGTAAAACACGGACTGGACTGGACCAGGAAAACACGGACTCATCCGTGTTTTACAAATCGCGAACTAAGATTTGTAAAATGCGGACTCATTTACTGAATGCGGTAAGGATGAACGGTCGCAGTAAAGTATTGTCTATTCTCATGACAAAGTTCAATGTTTTTACCGAGAAAGTTCAATGTTTTTGATGATCATTTATGATCATTTGGTGGTTTCAAAGCTTGGATCTGGTTGTTCAACGGGTTAAAATCAGATCAGAACCTGTCAAGTGCTCTTGACAAATATTGAAGATTCTCACGCGAATAGGCAATATTTTATCAACGACCTCACCATTCATCCTGCAAGCGACGGTACATGGACTCAGTCCTGTACTGACTCAGTTGTAAAGGTTTTGGCGGGAATTGCACTCAGTCGTGAGAGTTTTGGCAGGAATTGTGGATATTAATAGGTCGGTCAAGGAATAATCATATCCTGGAGCTAAGGTTGGTAAAAATTACTATTATCCCCGAGCCGGCGGCGTGAAGCGCCGTGCGAGGGTACTAATCCCCCCCAGCTATTTACACCCGGGGAAATGAAAGCATTAGGGAAGTCTGAAGTTCATCAAATATCGCGGGCGTGGGTCACTGTGCATGGGTGGTCATCCTCACTGATCTCAAAAATATGGCAGACTGTCATGAATAGCAAACACCGATTGGTCAAATTTAAAATTTGTTGTATGACGAATGACGACTTTAACTGACAGATACTTCATGAAAATATTTTGCTTTTTGCGCTACAGTTTTTTGTGCGCCGTGCGAGGGTACTAATCCCCCCCAGCTATTTACACCCGGGGAAATGAAAGCATTAGGGAAGTCTGAAGTTCATCAAATATCGCGGGCGTGGGTCACTGTGCATGGGTGGTCATCCTCACTGATCTCAAAAATATGGCAGACTGTCATGAATAGCAAACACCGATTGGTCAAATTTAAAATTTGTTGTATGACGAATGACGACTTTAACTGACAGATACTTCATGAAAATATTTTGCTTTTTGCGCTACAGTTTTTTGTACATTTGCAAAAACATTTGGCAGCTTTAAAAGCAATTAGTTTTATTAAAACTTTTATCAAACAATTACGGTATCAAATACCAATTGAAAAGATATGGAGCCATGAAGAGCAGCAAGGAAACGACAAGAAAGCCGAGCGTCTAGCGAAAAGAAGGAAGCGAAGACGACAACGTTTGCTCGAGGAGACTGCCAAGGAAAGAGAACCTCGCCTGGGAAAGCGTAGAGAAGCATGGAAAAGACTGCTGAAGCGAAAGTAAGAAAAGGCTTGTCTTCACAACGCTATGTACCAATGTTACTGTAGCTATACAAGTTGAAGTATGATAATCGACCCTCTATATTCGACTGTTTCTTCACAATTTTCCAATAAAGAGTTTGTCATGACACGCTCAAGTCAGTATAACCAGACTTTATTTTATTTATATCAGTTATCACAGCCACAGTCTCAATTTTATGCTGTCAAATACCGTTGGTTGCAACTAAAGGTCAACAGTTGCAGATAAAACATTCTCTATTCTCATTAAAAAGCCTGTAAAGGTTTCCAGTAGGTCTCTAGCCCAACACGTTCAGACCACACAAAGTTTTTTTACTTATTATTGTACACATGGGAAACAACAATTAAGTGTTGTTGTTCTTGACAAACATTGGAGATTCTAATCACGCAAATGTTTTTATGAGCGACTGTTCATCGTTAGGTGCAAGCGACGGTACAACGTACTATGAACATTTTTCCGACTTTGACCGAATGTGCAACGATATATTTTTCATGAAAGTTGTTATCAATTCCTAAAATTTGTTTATAGTAAAACGGCCTGCTCAGCACTCACTACTCACAATGATTTCATTTAGAAATGCAGTTACCCAGGAAAGGAACTGATTCTAAAATATTTGAATTTAAAAGCATTGGCTAACAAAATAAAGCGATGTGAAGACAAGGTATAAACTTTTATAGTTGCTATTTGTTATAAAATCCTATAAATAAACCGATTCAACAATAATTTTGCCTCGAATTTGCATATTCTGTGCTGCATGTCAGAGGCTGCATGTTTATATTTTATTTTTATAGTATAAAAATAAAATTGTAATAGTATGAAATAAAATACATTTCTGTTTATTGACCAGTACTTATTTAATGCCTTCTTCATCCAGTGGTCAGAGTAAATTTCTACTTCTTGCAAGTAAATATTTGACAAGCAGTCTGGAATAAGCAC